AGTTTTCCACAAAATCTACAACTGTAAGGTTCCTACCCAGTGTGTAATCTTTTACATTTTTTGAAGTAACTGAGAGATTTTTCCTGAGTGGGTGCTATTTGATATCTTTATAAGTTGTTTTGTACACACCATACGACCGTACGGTTTCTCACTAGTGCGAGTTCTTTGATGTATTATTAATTCACTGTTTGTTCCAAATTCTTTTTCACAAATGCCACAACTTTAAGGTTTTCACCATTGTGTATTCTTTGATGCTGTTTTAAGTTACAGCTTGATATAAATTGTTTAGAACACACTATACAACTGTAAGGTTTCTCACCAGAATGTGTTCTTTGATGTACTTTTAATGCACTGTTTGTTCTAAACTGTTTTCCACAAACTCCACAACTGTAAGATTTCTCCCCAGTGTGTATAGTTTGATGTGTTTTTAAAGCAGTGATTGTTCTAAACTGTTTTTCACAAACTCCACAACTGTAAGGTTTCTTCCCAGTATGTATAGTTTGATGTGTTTTTGAGGCACTGATTGTTCTAAACTGTTTTCCACAGACTTCACAACTGTATGGTTTCTCCCCAGTGTGCCTTCTTTGATGTGTTTCTAATTCACCATTTGTACCAAACTGTTTTCCACACACTGTACAGCTGTAAGGTTTTTCACCAGTGTGTCTTCTTTGATGTTGTTTTAAGTTACCATTTGTTTGAAACTGTTTTCTGCAAACAGTACAAAAGTAAGGTTTTTCACCAGTGTGTATTCTTTTATGTTTTATTAATTCACTGTTTGTTCCAAACTGTTTTCCACAAACTGCACAATCATATGGTTTCTCACCAGTGTGTATTCTTTGATGTGTTTTTAAGGTACTATTTGCACCAAAGTGTTTTCCACACACTGTACAACTGTAAGGTTTCTCCCCAGTGTGTATTCTACGATGTTTTTTGAAATCACCATTTGTTCCAAACTGTTTTCCACAAACTGCACAATGATATGGTTTCTCCCCAGTGTGTATTCGTTGATGTGTTTTTAAGGTACTATTTGTAACAAACTGTTTTCCACACACTCTACAACTGTAAGGTTTCTCCCCAGTGTCTATTCTTTGATGTCGTTTTAAGTAACTATTTCTATTAAAGTGTTTTTTACAAACTGTACAATGATATGGTATCTCTCCTGAGTGCATCCCCTTTTGTTGTGTTAGGTTATCAAATGTTTTTCCACAACTGTATAGTTTATCATCACACTGATGTGTATTAAATGTTGTTAGGTTATTTCCACTTAACTTTGTTTCTCCACTAATGTTGTAGTTTAGGGATTTTACGTCTTCTGTAAAGTGATCTTCTTGTTTTATAAGATAACAAGTAAACTGACTTCCACAATAGATGTTCACACTGGTCTTTGTATCTAAAATAGATATTAATGATGTCACAAATTAGTTAACAATAAATATATAATACAATACTTTATTTGAAGAACATCTAAATATATTTTAATGTTCTAATACAATCAACACATATATCAATATAAAAATATTAAAGATAAAAATAAGTTTAACACTTTATAACAACTTTTTTACCTACATCAGAATAGCACTGAAAACATAAACTGTTGGTGACATACCACATTCAAGAGATCATTTTAGTAGATAAGGTCTCAAATCATCTGTAGAAATATGATAGTACAGTGTAACATCAACCAATGTTACTTTCAGCCAATACCTTTCTGGATTAACTGTTAGTGGTTGCTTGTCATGAAATCTAATGATTTGTCTACTTTAACAAGTTAATTAACATCAATACTTTA